AAGTGCATGCGCCCTTATAGCAAAGATCTCTCTAAGTGATTTAGAATTTTGATATAGCAATATGTTTCATAAAGTATGACCTATGAGGATTAGGTTTCTATTTTCAAGATTTATTATAATAATGCTAGAGTAATTCCCCATTGATTTTTAACAATTTCACTGAGTTAACCATTGGATTTTGTAATCATGGCAGGCCCATGTTTTTCTATGCAAAAATTCATCAAGACTTTCCCAATGACCCAATAATATGTACTATATTCTGGAATCCCATAGTTTTTTTTATTAAAAAGAAAAGAGCTTTGGGGACCAGCAGTTGGCCAATGGTTATGTTACTGGACCCCCACAGTTTGAGTCCTGGATCCAGCAGCTTGAAACACCCCAGGCGCTTGTGCATGCCTGTCCAAAATCCCAAGAGGAGAGCGGAGGAGAAGGTATTGCAGCATGGCCATCCCCCCCTGGGGAGTGATTTCTCTCTCTCTGCCTATCGTAGTCTCTCCAGCAAGCACAAGCACCCTATAGCAAAAATCTCTCTCAAAAAATAAATAAATAAATAAAGATTTTGGAGTAGTGTGTAGTTATATTATACAGAACAAGTTGTTAATTAAAATTGAATATACGCTATCTACATGTCAGGCAACTTTCACATTTACCTGCTATGAAGCACTTTAAGTAGTGGGTCTAGAATTATCACAAAAATATGTGTTGTATTCATTCATTTTTATTCTACCTCCCTGTTGTATAAAAGAGATGAATACTTTACACACCTCATTGGGAGATAGAATGTAAGGCTTAGTAAAATAATATCTGTAAATTGTTTATGAAAATAAAAATTTTCTTTTATCAAATTTTAAGAAAATTATGGTTCCTAAGGAGAAAGAATGTAGTTTATTTAAAAATTAAGATAATGGTGTTTGAAAGTATTTCATGATCCTTTTAGCCAGAAAAATTTGTTTTGGTTTGAGTTTTTTATCTCTACATTCATTATGAGAGATTTTAATATCTGTATTATGAGATAAGCTAAAGTCATGTTTCTGAATAAAAATATTTTTACAGTGAGAAAAATAAATGTCCTTTTAAAAAAATGAAGCTGTGGCCAGTTAGGTAGTGTGGTTAAGGCAGTTGGATCCCATATGGCTTACTATGAGGTTAGAGTTCCAGACATTGCTGCTTGAAAAACACAGTAAGTGAGATGTGTTCCCAAAATCCCAAGAGGAGAATGGAGAAGGGATTGTGGTATGGTCATCCTACCAGGGGTATTTTCTCATTTTTCCTTTCATTCTCTGTAACAGGTGCATGTTTCCCACAGCAAATGAATGAAACAAAACAAAACAAAACAAAAAATGGAGCTAATATTCTAGAGATCACAGAATAGGTAAATGAACAAAATAAAACTTGAACATCTCTACCTTCAAAATAATGAACTCCTTTTCTCTTATCACTTGAACCCTCAGAAGTAGTAAATGATATAAAGAAGACTGGAAAGCATACCAACTAATGAAGGCAGGAAATAATCTGAATATGTTTGAATATAAGAAATGAAAGAAATGGGAGGCCAAATGGTGGCATAGTGGTAAAACGTGAGACTCTGCAAGGGCTGACCTACATCGGGAGGTTTCAGGTTTGTATCCAGAGACTCTTGATGCAAGCTGAGCACACAAGCACCGGGGTCTGGAGCTGGCTGAAACAGACGGTGGATTTTGGTGTCAGGACCCTATCAGGGTACTGGCTTATCTGTCTCTCTCTTGCTCATAGAAGTAATGAATAAATAAACTTAAAAAAAAAAAAAACTACTACTTTTCTCAAATATCTGCTTTGGGATCATGGACTATTTTAGATAGGCATAAGAAATATTATACTATAAACATACATTGTTTTTTATAAGCATAAACACAAGTGAATATTCAAGGATAAATGGTAACATTATTTTATAAATTGTCTTCATTAAAATCTTATTTACATTAAAACAATCGATACAACAATAAATGTTTGTAAAAATACTATTTTTTGATAAATGAAACTTATTAGAATTTTTTTTTTTAAACTAAAACAATGATTAGAACTTCAAGCCGGTATAATGGCATAAAGGCAAAGGCCATTTATAAAAGATATTCTAGCAAAAAACACGGGGATAGGGTGCTTAAAATCTAGGCATCTGAGTTTCATTCAGAGATTGTATAAAAATAACTTCTGTTACTGAGATTTCCATTAAAGCAAGGAGAATATTTGGAATATTAATATTCTGTTTATGAATGTCACAACAAAATAGGCGACTATAGTGATGAAAAACAATTCAAGATCAAAGCATCAAAGATGGCAACACATAATTACCAATTTCATCTTATAAATGGCACATCACACACTAGAAAACTAATGGAGTATGGTTTCCTGATGGGAAATATGACAGAAAAAAAAAAAAACAGAACTTTAGAGACTCACAGAAGCTTTAACTTAGCTGCAGTGCAGAACCAAGGATCTACATAAACGGAATTGAAATTACACTCTTCCAAACCCTAGATTTTCACAAGTATATCAAGGCAATGCTAAAAGCTAGTGTCCATACAATGGAAAATCATAATGTATATGATCACATTCCATTACGGTCAAAACCAATCCCACATTTATGTATGAATGAATGATCTTCCAAGAAATGAAAAGCACTGCGATTCCAAAATCTGAAGTGTCTACCAATTTCTACTCCATAATCGTAAATATGTCTGTTTACAAATGATGATGACAGTTTTCCTGGAACATTATTTACCCGGTAACTGAAAACTGTTGGTATGATTATACATAAAAAAAACTAGGGGACAAGATTTCAGCTTTCTTAGTATTTTACTGATGCTATTAGGAAAATGATTCATCTTGGCCCTTAATTTTCATCATCCAAGGTTGTTTCTTCCCCCTAAGCTTTAGTCTAACCAAACGACATCCTTTACTAAAATCTGAATAGCAACTTGAAATTATAAAATGGAAGTTCAGAAAAAATAGCAATAAAAGCATTACTGGCTTTTGTTCTTCTCTAGGCATAATTTTGGAGAACTTCCTTATTGTCTAATTTACATAAACTCAATTGAAGTTTGTTTCTTTTGTTGACTTTCCTAAGAACGTATTCATAATAAATTCTGGTTCTTCTATAAATCATTCCATAAAGACTTAGCATTTTATTGGATTCCTAAGTGTGTTTGTTGCTAAATCATTACCTTTTTTCCTTTTTTTTTTTTGCATAAATACACAGTTAAACACCTACAAATATATTCATTGCCTCCACAGTTACTAACATCATTTGAAGAAAAATATTAGGAAAAAGTTTTTATTATCTTTGGTTTCCTCATGTGCTATTTGTGAAAGAAAAATTCTGCCTTCCCATGTCCCTTTAAAAAAATTATTTATAAACCTCCTAAAGCCTACCACACAGAAGAAAAAAATATAGTTTTAAATACCAAGAATTTTAAACAAACTAAAATTAGTTTGGTCAACACTAAGTCATAGGCTCATATGCATTTACACTCCCATCAAGGTATCTTTGAGAGTTAGTTCAAGATAGGTATGGATCAGTCTTCTTTATTTCTAAAATGTAAATTCTGCTTATTCTACTTCAGTGAAAAATGATTTCATGTAGCCATACTTGAGACTAAAGTAGAATAGGTAATTCAGCAATCATAAAACAAACAATTACACTGTAAGGCTATTTAATCTATTTAATTTTTACTTTAGCCATGGCCAGATTTCAGTTTTTAGTTTGGCTTGTCACTGAAGAATTTTCTGAGCAACTTAAATAAATTGGAGCAAATCTGCACTTTTATATTAATTTCAAAACTTTTTTCTGAATACAAAACTTTTCAAGACATTGAGAAAAGAGCTCTCTGAATGATTGAGTAGTTGGGAAAGTCATGGCATATTTTTGCACAGAAAAATATGTAACAAGTTTCTCGACGACCTATATATCAATCGGTTTGTTTACTCTCTCTGGTTCTCAGATGATTGATATCCACGCCAACGCCTCTCACATGGACATGTGTGTGCGCACTCATTCACACATGACTGTTTTAATCAACAGGAATCAATTTATACCTAGCAAACACAAGTAACAATTTACAATGCTCCTACTAACCTTTACAATCTTCCAAAATGCATTTTAGATTTGTTTTTGTTCCTGTCAAATTGGTGCTTGACAATTCAACCAGTAATGCAAGGATTTATACTCTGTAATCTGAAAAGGAATTACCTGGAATATTTCACTATAAGGTAGCTCATTATTGCGTAAGAATCCCTCTAAGACTGCATAGTTCTCTGATTTTATAATCTATAATTTATAATCAGCAGTAGTTACTAACCCAGACGTACATTTGAGGTTAACATTTATCAATAAATACTATCCCATTTAGACACTGATTCCCAAAGTGTGTTTATTCTTTACTCCACCAGTATCAAAGAAGAAATATTACTTCTAGTATTGAAATAATCCAAGCTTACTAAAATGAGGTAAACCATTTTAAAACACAACAGGTAGTTTTGTTCTCAAATGCTACACGAATCCACAATGTTGTGACAATTCAAGATCCCAGTTACATTATGGTCATTCCATGGTTCTGAGAGACGGAAAAGGTGATTTCACCCTGAGAGAAGTAGCAGTCTACTTCCATGTGTGATATGGGTTTTACTTAATGGAACAACAAAAACAGTGACATGTTCGATGTAAAACGGATGCCACGATCTTAACAAAACTCTCCAGCTTAAACCAAAGCCTCGGCAAAAGGCTCCGAAGAGAGCTATGAATGCTTGACTTAGGGATGATATGCTCTATGTATAACGTTTTCTCTAAAATAATCCATCATGCCATTACTTGTTAGGATTCACCTTAGAACCCGTTTCATCCTATCTTCTCACTGTGACGGTGTCACCAGTGGGTGCACTCACTTAAAATGTACACAAATGGAGAAAGGAAAGGAATGCTGACGGTAATACATAAAGGTGGACATCACATAGGAGTGAACACTAACCATATTAGGCTTGGATGGGCAACAGCGCACAGGGAAGAAGCCCTCCCACAGCCACATTCGCAGCAACTGAAAAGCAAACAAGAGAGCCCAAGATAAGGAAGAGATCCCACGCCCTCAAATACAGCATAAAGACACTATGAATTTACTCAGGTGTCCGCTTTGCTTTTCGAAACCACAAATCCCTAAATGCATACAATTAAATTGTTTCCACAAGGCCTTTCAAAATAAGAAGCATTTTATGGACTTAAGAAATTCAGAGCTGTACTAAATTGCTATTTTCATTTGACTTAAAATAATTATTTGGTAGGAAATAGAGTGAGCCAATGTATATGAATTCATTGCATGCAAGCAATATAGAAATACAGATAAAGATTTAAGCTCATTTACATATGTCTTTCCTCAGATATTTCCTCAAAATTTACATATGGAAGATAATCTACATAGCCCTTTTAAAGTACATGATTTGCATATAGCTTACAACTTCGGAGGGAAAATAAGGTCTTGCCCATTTGACCCACTGACTGCTATTGCCAGTGATATTGCTTATCATAAATTAGCCTATTGGAAATGTATGCTTTGTATGAAATCTCCAATCACTCACAGAAGGCTACCAATTTAAATTTACATTTTCAGATTTTAAAATTATATCTCTGAATATATATTCCCAGAACTATTGCTATCTAAAAAAAGCAAACTATATATAATGCATGCACTTTTCTGGATATTGCAACACTCAAGACTCTTTTATATTTTCCACATATTCATAGTACAAATCCAGAAAATACAAAATAACTTGTCCCATGGAGTTCATTTATTAATAGAAACCACATAAACTGATGGCAGAATATAGCACAGAAGTTATCTAGTGCACTCACTTTCAAGTATTTTTTTTAAAGTATAGCATGTATAGTGTTCTTAAAGATCAGAACTGTAATGTATATTAAGTAGTGAGACCATATTACAATGAGTCTAAGCTTTTGCCTAAAGTCAATTTTAATCTTTAATTATTTAAAATACATCTAATCTATATCAAATTAAAAAATAAAATAAATATACACATCCATTTATTTGTAAATAATACTGAAGACAAAGAAGTATTTCCAAATTAAATTCTAATGGGTCTTTTTCAAAGGAAAAGTAAATGGGGTTTCATATATTTTATGTGTAGTACTGATGATTTTTTAATTTGTTTGTTCTGCTTAGTAGTGTCTGAGAATTTGGCTGTTATCAAAATGGAATTCTAATCAACAAAATTGGCTACTAAGACATTTATTTCCAATTTGTCTGTGGATTATATTTTAAAGAATGTGCCAAATTATTTTCACTATAGAGACATTAGAAGTTAGAGTTACAGTATATCAAAATATTAAAATATTCTGGAACAGCTAAAATATTTTGAGGGATATTGACATATTTCTTTAAATTACATTTATTGCATTAATACCTTAAGCAATGACTAACATATAAATTAATTTCCCTAGTGCTAATGTCTTCTTATCTTAGCACTCAGATTAAGGGTTGTGAAATGTGGCCCCACTGGTTTTTGTAACTATAGTTTTCATTACAGACATGGCATGTATGGCTTGTGAGGGCCTGAAAGGGCAAAAGACCCTTCAAAGAAAGACTGTCCTTCTTCCTTAGACTGTTCCTTGAAATGAGGATGATTTCTTGAGTTTTTTAAATTTTCTTTTAAAATTGAATTTTTTTAATGTAGCTTTCATAAATGACACTTGTAAGTTATGTGTTACTGTATTAATGACTGGCATTAATAATTGCACAATTGCCTCAATTTACCATTAATTACTAATATAGAAAGTTTACATACATGTGTTATGAAGTTCTAATTTCAAAAATCATAATACATTTTGTGTCTTTTTAATTAGTACATATGTGCACACACACACACACACACACACACACACACACACACTCATGCAATTTGCTGTAACACCAAATCCACAAATATTAAATCTGAATACTCTGTCACTTCATCTATTCTTTGAATTCTACTTTATAGCTTCGATAAATTTTAATTAAGAGATCTGAAGTCAGGGATCAGCAGTTGGTGTATTGCTTATGTCACAGGATTCCCATGTAGTCAACTGAGGTTCGAGTCCCAGACTTGGTGGCTTAAACTCACACCAGACACATGCATGTGCATGCCCAAGGTCCCGAGAGGAGAATGGAAGAGAAGGGATTGTGGCATGGCCATCTCTCCTGGGGGTCATTTCTCTCTCTCTCTGTCTTTCTGTGAAGTGCACACACCCTACAGCAAAACGCCTCTCAAAAAAAAAAAGAGAGATCTGCAATCATGTAAAAATCAAACATTTATACCTACATATTTTTCTGAATTAATGTTTTAGATTTTGTACTGACATTTGGACTTGGTTTAGAGTGGCAGAAAGAGGCTCATCCGTGGCTGGTAGGGCACTGCTGTGTTATGCTGGAGCTGAAGGCCCAGGTTCAGATTCCAGTTCCAGATCAACCTGAATTCGTGGGAGGCCCAGGCTCAGATTCCAGATGAACCTAAGCACACCGGATACATGCCTGAAAACCTTAGCTTAGCTAAGTGGGAGGCTGAGGTGGAAGGACCATGGGAATTTAAGATCCTATCGGAAATACCTACGTCTCTCTTTTCCTCTTGCTCTCTCAAAAAGAAAAGATATATTTATCATACATAAATTACGTTGGATCACTTGGTTGACTTCTTATATCTTTGCGTCTAAGTTGACAAAATACTGATAATAATGGATTTCATTTCATAGACTTTGTGAAACTAAGGTGAAAGAATATATTCACTTTGGTCAGTGTCTTACACATCATACATTTTGAGAAAAGTAGTAGCTATTACTCTTAGTAATTAATGTGACAGGTTATCCTTACCTCAGAATAACGTGTATGTTTTATAATCCGTGTGATATTACCATATTAAATATTTCAGTTTGTACTATAACTAAATAAGCAATTACATTCAGATCAATGCATGTAAATGCAGAATGGCCAATCTGATTAAAACAATAATTGCCACAAAATACATTTTCTAAGGATTTAGTGATCAGAACTACTATGCATTAAATATGCTATTAAGAGAATTAAAACCGTGTTCCTTTTCTATGCATATCTGAAATGGCATAAAATAACTATTTTATAAGAAACTCTAAGCCCAGCTGGTGATTTGATGGTTAAAGTGGCTTATTCCACATGGCTGACCATGTAGTTTGAGTACCAGAGTCAGGCTTGAAACATACACTGGGTGTGTGTGACTGTGTGCCCAAAATCCCAAGAGGTTTTCAAGAAATTGAGGAAAAGGACTCTTAATTATATCAATCTGTGTTTGTTTACTCGCTCGAATTCTCAGATGATTGATACCCACTCCAACACCTCTCACACGTGCAGGAGGAGAAGGGATTGGGGATGTTTTCTCACTCTCTCTCTCCCCCTCCCATCTCCCTCCAGCAAGTGCACAAGCCTAGAGCCAAAAAAATAAATAAATAAAATAAACAATAAAAAACAAAACAAAATACAATAACCCAAACTCTGAGAATGCTTTACAGTAACATCTCAGCACCAGATGAGATAACAAACATATTCTTTCCTTAATCATTACTCAGTTAAGTACAGGTTGAAAATGCTTACAAGCCTCTGATATAATTTAGAAATAGAAACCAAAAATGTGCTAGAAATAGCAGCCAATCTAATTCCTGGGAGCTATGGTTCCACACGGAACATCTGCATTCCCATCAGTTCTTAGCACCTGGAAATCTGTAAGTAACTGCATGCAGCTACAACAAGATCATTATTATCCAAGTTTAAAATAGTTCAGCCCTTTTAGTCTTATAATCAAAAACTGTTGGTCTTTGTTTTAACAAGATATTTCGATTTGTCCTTCAGCAGATTAAAATATGATAACGGGGGCTTTCCAAACCCACACAAGATTTACATGAAATTACTTTAGTCAGGCCTTACACAGAGTAAGTCGATCAATATATGTAAGAAGTGTGTCAATGTAAGTAAGATAACCTCCCTCCTAGGGAAGCGAGGTGATTATACCTCTAGGGAAGAAATTCTCAAAGATACCAGATCAGAGAAGCAAGACTGCAGACTGCTGGTAAAAGATGACTTAAGTTCTTAAACACCAGATCATGCACGTGGATAAGGGAAACAGGAAGATGTCAAAAGATAAATGAGTGAAAGGCAGGCGGAATCATCTCATAAAAACAGTATATGCTGATCGGACGGAAAACATTTTCGCTTTACATGTAAAAAAAATAAAGAAGGAAATGAAAAGTCTGCGTCGTTTATCCATTTGGATCTAAAACCACAACAATAACAAATGATGGTCCCCAGCCTTGGAGAAAACAAAGTGAGGCTACCGCCTTTCTTTACCCTGGGAAGATGACACGGAAGAGTGGCACCAGTCCTTTCAGAAAACGAGATTCCCACATCTGTCAAAGAGCAATAAAGAAGTTCTTGCACTTTGCCATGGTGTCGCAAGATTGTTAACGATGGTGGTGTTTGTAGTCAGACTAGACGTCACGAATGTATTCATGGCTAAATACAAAGCTCTGGGTAAATCAGTCCTTGATGAGAATAGTAAAATAATAAAAAATTATACCACTAAGGGCTGCTCTGAAGAATGAATTCCTTTATATATGCAATATCTCTGGACTGGCCCTCCGCTTGCCATCTGCACCTGAAAAGTTTTTCATTCATATTTCATATTATTAGAATAACACGGCCTTTGGACAGAGTGGTATACAAATAATAAATATGAGGCTGATCAATAAAGGAACTAAAGATCAATAAGACATTTTGTTTCAGTGAACAAAAATATATTTGTGAATCTATGAAGCAATGAAAATAAATGTAGTATACTACCAATTTTTAGTAATTAGTGTGAACAGAAGTTAATGATGGCATAAGAATATCAAACTTCTGGGAACCAGCAGTTAGCGTAATGGCTATGTCGCTGGACTCCCACGTAGTCGACCGCGGTTCGTGTCCCGGACCCGGTGGCTTAAAACTCACGCCGGGAGCGTGTGCGTGTGTGCCCAAGATCCCGAGAG